AAACATGAGAATCTCGCTACATAGGGTCCAGGCCAGCGCCTCGCGCTGGATCCAGTAGCCTTTTGCCTTCAAGTAAGAATTTCTTGGCTTGAACATTGAATTATATTCCTTTTTTTCTTCTTGTCTTCCACTTGGGGGGACAAACACCAAAGTGCATACCCCTTTTTTATTCTTTTAATTTTCTTTCTTTATCTTCCGCATTTTATTCAATTTTGCTCCAAATCTCTTTATCTTCACACCGCTTTATTCCTACACAGTTAAAATATAATACTAGACATAAATTACTATAACTAATAGTCAAACGTGATTTAAAGTACTAGAATATGAGACAACAATGGGTAAATATATGCATTTTGACCAAACACCATACTTGCCTGCTCTATCGACTGCAACTGTTTAGAGTTTACTTTGTGGTACGAAAGAATTATGGAAGTATTTCTCATGGAATGATTGTGTCAGAAGGATTGGTCAGTCACTTGAGTTGTCGAGTTAGGATCATATATGGTGAATATGGTATTCTAGGGATTTGGAGACGGGAAGTTCTCAGAGGCATATTTTTCCTAGGTTGCGGACTGTGAAGGTAAAGCCAAAGTTAGGCAGCTAATTTTACGTGTCATGGTTAGGTTATTGTTGACTTTTGGAGGGTTATTTATCTATTTTGTGGATGACCAGAGTTGATTTGGGGGCCCATAGTAGGCCCAATAAGGGTTTCTTCACCGGGTTGGATATGTTGACTCAGCACTGCTGATGTTGAGGGATGTGTTGTTCGGCTAGAGATGAGCTTGTTCGTGTTTTGATATATTCTATGTGTTTCTCTTCTATGCTACGATGAGTTGTGAGACTGTTGACTATTTCCACACATGATGCAGTTCAGTTTGAGCCTTGTAGCGAAATTCGAACAAGATGGTATTTAGGATGTCGGATGGTTGATTGAGCCTTTGTTATGATCCTTTGGGGTTGTGGTATATTGTGCTATTCGTTTCTCCATTGTTATGGTCATGCACTTTGTGTGTTTGTTGTTGATCCGCGTATGGTTGGTGATTTTGAACATTATGACTTGAGGTATTTCATGTGGACCGGTGTTTGGATGGGGTCACACACTGCAGGCAAAATTATGTTGGGTTATGATCCTTTGGGTTGATTTCGTGTGTCTTGATTCTCCCTATGGGATGGGTTTACAAAGTTGGGCTCGTGGTGGTACTTATTGATCTTCCCAGTTCTCGTTTGAGTCATTTTCCATGCTTGGGTATATTTGAATTGTTGCTTATTGGTGCACAGATTGCACGATTTATGGATTTAGGTTGTATTGGTGGGGCCTGTCCGTAGATTAGTTGTGTTTGATGAGATGAGGTCATTGGACCTAGAATAGATGCTACCGAATTTGATTTTGGTATGTTACAAAGAATAATATTGGAAGTCGGCTTAGAATTTTACTTTGGTTCTTGTCGGACTAGAGAGAGAGCTCCATGACTTACACAGTGAGTTGATGGCCGTGGAAAAATTCTTAGCACGTTCGAGGGAGAACATATGTTTAAGGGAGGGAGAATGTAACAACCCATCCGGTCGTTTTGAGCATTTGCATTCCGTTAGATGGTTCGATGGTAGGAGTAGCTTCGTATGAAGTATTACAACATGTGTGAATTGCCGGTTTTTGTTTTTTTAGGTGATTCAGGATTGATTCGGAAGAATGATTCTCAACTAAGAAGCTTTAAGTTGGAAGAGTTGATCAAGTTTGACTTTTGAGTTTTTGATCCTGGATCGGAGTTTTGATGGTCCAGTTAGATCGAGATGGTGATTTTGGACTTGGGTGTATGCCCGGATTTGCATTTGGATGTTTCTAAAAGGTTTCAACACTATTTGGCGAAAGTTGGAAATTTGAAGGTTTGGAATGTTTATAAGTTTGACCGAGAGTTGACTTTGTTTATATCTGATTCAGATTGTGGTTCTAGGGATTTGAATAACTTCGTTATGTCATTTGGGACTTATGTGCAAAATTTGAGTTCATTCCGGGTTGATTTGATATGGTTCGGCACGAGTTTTGGAAGTTGAAAGTTCATCAAGTTTGATTCGAACTGCGATTCATCATTTCATCACATATTCTCTCATTTTAGAACCCTGGACTCGGTAGGAAGCGACTTGGAGAGGGGATTTTCATCTACAAATATCGGGTAAGTGATTCTAATCAATTTCCAACTATATTTCATCAATATACATTGGAATTTACATCAAAATCATGTGAATCAAAGTGAAAATTTATGAAACATTATCAAGTTTTTGAAAAAAAACAATTTGAGTTTTGAGAGTCGATTTTGACCCAGATTTTGAAACTAATCATATATATGGACTCGTGGGTTATGGGTAGTCAAAATCTACCTTTAGACCCGGGTTTTGACTGGACGAGCCCCGGTTTGACTTTTTGGAAAAAGTGTAAAGATCATGGCTTTATCTATTGTAATTGTCTTCCCTTGCATTGATTGATGATATTAAATCAATTTTGGTTAGATTTGAGCCGTGTGGAGGCAGATTATAGAGGAAACACTATTTCCGAGGGTTGAATTGGCCTAGTTGAGGTAAGTATCTTGCCTAACTTTCTGTGGGGAAACTATCCCTTAGGATTTGAGATTGATTGTGTCATTTGTGCTGTGTGAAAGTCGTGTACGCAAGGGAAGAGTGGGTACACAGGTTATATGTGGTATTTGACCGGTCTAGGCTACTTAGACTCTTTCAATGCTTTAATTTAATTGTCATATCATGTTTGAAACTCTCATAGTCAATCTACTCTTACTTGTGTTAGTCTATCCTTACATGACTTTGTTAACACTTGTTCCACATCTTACTTGATATTTTTCTCTTATGCTTAGTTGAAGTTGTTGCCTCTTTTATTGTTACTTGTTATCTCTTCCATTGTTGATTTATCATTATTTGAAGTCAGTATTACATGATACCTCTTCCCTTGTGAATTATTCTTATTTAATATATTAGTTACAGATTATCTCTCTTATTGTTGAGTTATTGGTGTTGAAGTTTTGAAAGCCGTTATCACGTTGAGGCAAAGTTATTATTGTTGAGATATCCTTCTTGTTGTGAAATTCACATTCATTGTTATTGTTGATATTCCTGTACACATTATGGTTGATCCATGGGCTATTGTTGTTGAAACATTGATATTGTTGATTATTTGCAAGTTGTGACATATGGGCACTTGTGGAGCGAGTCGTTATTGTGGTGTGATATTGATGCGCATACGACGGTATAAGGATAGGGGTTAATGTGCATGCGGTGGCATAAGGTGGGACTTTTGTGCGTGTTGCTTGAAAGGGAATTACTTGAAGCCACACGGTGTCATAAGGTGGGCTAAAGTGCATGTAACTATTTCGGGAAAAGTGTTTTCAAAACTATTCAAATGTATGGCTCCGACAGCGGTATAAGGAAAGACTGTGATTGAAATTGAGAAATGTGAATACGAGGCGGTACCTTGGTTGTGATTCTTGTTTATACGAGGTGGTACCTCGGTTGTTATTCTTATCGTGTATGAGGCAGTACCTCGTTTGTGATTATTGTTGTTTATCTCATCTTGTAAAGAGTTATTGGTTAACATTTCTTGTTGCTCTATTTCTTCCATGTCTTATCAGTTTGGGTCCGTATTTGACTAAGGGGGTTCTCTTTAATTGCTTAATTTATGTTATATCTATGCTTACAATTCCTGCATAAGTCTATGTTGTTAACTTGTTTCGTACCGCCTTCCACTACTTCTCATTATTACATTTTGATTCTATTTGTTATGTCCTAGTAGGTGTCTTGACCTGGCCTCATCACTACTCTACCGAGGTTGGGCTTGATACTTACTGGGTACCGTTGTGGCATACTCATACTACACTTCTGCACATCACTTTGTGCAGATCCAGGTATGTGTTCCCGTGCCGGACGCTAGAGGTTGATTAAGTAGCTGCTTTTGGAGTTTTCAAGGTACACCTGCTTGACGTCCGCAGGCCTCTGTGTCATATTTTGTTTTAGACATTCTACTGTTTATTTCTTATTTCAAATAGTATTGTATTTTGAGACTATTAGAACTTTTTTGTAGAGCTTATGACTCCGTTCCACCAGGTTTTGGGGCAAGCGTTGGCTATTTTATTATTGAGTTTATTATAATAGTGTGAAGGTTTAATTTGATGTTTTTGTAGTATTTTCTGTATTTCTCTATGCATGCTAGGCTTACCTAGTCGTAGAGTCTAGGTGCCATCACGACATCTTACGGTGGGGAATTGGGATCGTGACAAGTTGGTATCAGAGCTCTAGGTTCATAGATGTTACGAGTTATAAGCAAGTTTAGTAGAGTCTTGCGGATCGGTACAAAGACGTTTGTACTTATCTTCGAGAGGCTACAGAACTGTTAGAAAAACTTAACTTCTTTGATTCCTTATCACGCGAATTGGTTGACTTCGAAATCTAAATATTTGAATTTCTATTCTCTCACGTATGGTGAGGACACGCACTACTGAATCTGACGATCTGACATCTGTGCCCCTTACTAAAGCCGCGAGAGGCTGGGGTAGAGGTCAATGAGGGGAACGTGGTGAAGCTAGAGCACCTGCTCGAGCTGCGACAGAGGAGCCACCAATAGCTCTAGATGGGGGGCACGTACGCGAGGCGCCTGTTGTTACCCCTGCACTATAGGAGACCCTCAAACAGTTATTTAGCATGTTCAGTACCTTAGCTCAAGCGGGGTTGATTCCACTTGCAGCAACCACCTCTCAGGCTGGGGGAAGAGCTCAGACTCCCGGGTCCTGTACTCCAAAGCAGTGGGTCCATGTTGATCATTCCTAGAGGTTATGCCAGCACAACCTGTTGTTTCGGTTCAGCCCGATGTTAGGGTAGTTGCATCTGAGGAGGAGCAGCTTAGGCTTGAGAGGTTCAAGAAGTATCATCCTCCTACTTTCAGTGGCTTAGATTCAGAGGATGCACAAGATTTTCTAGAGAAGTGCCACCGTATTCTCCGCACCATGGGTATTATGGAGATGAGTGGAGTTGCTTTCACTACATTCCAGTTGTCAGGAGCGGCATATCAGTGGTGGCGCATTTACGAGGAGGGTAACCCAGATAATGCAGCTTCACTTACATGGAATCCATTTTAAGAGGTGTTCTTGAGAGAGTTTGATCCCTAGACCCTTCAGGATGCATGGCGCACAGAGTTTGAGTAGCTGCGCTAGGGTACTATGTCAGTATCAGATTATGTTGTTAGATTCAGTGATTTGTCCAGACATGCACCTACTTTGGTTTCTACAGTTAGGGAGCGAGTCCGCCAATTCATCGAGGGGCTCAACTATTGTATTAGGTTCAGCATGACTAGAGAGTTGGAGACAGATACCCCATATCAACAGGTGATATCGCATGGAGGTTGGGGGGTATGTGGGGCCGTGAGAAAGAGGACAGGGAGGCCAAAAGGCCTCGAGGTACGGGAGGATTTAGTGGTGGCCACTGGTAGTTACAGCCCGTCATGCTAGATATTATGTGAGCCGTCCAGTTCATTCAGCACTTCCAGTTTCTAGTGGTACTCCGGCTATCACGAGGTCTCATATTGCACACTTTGCTCATCCACTTTCTAGTGCACCTCCTGTATGGAATGCCTTCAGTGGTTAGTCCAGTCGATCAGGCCCGAGCCACTCCCAGTAGCCACACCTATCGATATCTTGTTATAAGTGTGGTGATACTCGTCTTATGGTTAGAGACTGCCTCGGACTCAGGAGGGGGGCACCTCTACAGACTACTCAGGCTCTATGTATTTAGTCAGCTCCACAAACTTCACAGGTCATGGTTGTTTCTCCAGTTGCCGCTCCACCCACAAAGCCAGCTAGGGGTGGGGGACGGTCAGGTAGAGGTTGCCCTAGAGGGGCAGGCCAGGCCAAATTCTATGTTTTTCGAGGTAGGACATAGGCAATCACTTTAGACATAGTCATTATAGGTAGGGTTCCAGTTTATCATAGAGATGCATTAGTCTTATTTGACCCGGGATCTACTTACTCATATGTGTCATCTTACTTTGCTCCGTATTTGGATATATCTCGTGATTCTTTGAGTTCTCCTATTTATGTGTCGACGCTTGTGGAAGATTCTATTATGGTGGACCGTATGTATCGGTCGTGTTTAGTTGTTATTGGTGGTTTTGGGACCAGAGTTGATCTATTGTTACTCAGTATGGTAGACTTTGTTGTGATCTTGGGAATGGACTGGTTGTCACCCTATCATGCTATTGTATATTGTCACGCCAAAATTGTGACATTGGCTATGCGAGGTTTGCCACGGTTAGAGTGGAGGGGTACTTTGGATTATGTTCTTAGCAGGTTGTGTCATTTCTAAAGCTCAGCGGATTTTGTGACAGATGTCAGTGCTGATACTTCTACTGTTGAGTCAGTTCCGGTAGTGAGAGACTTCTCAGATGTAGTTCCAGCATATCTTCTGGGCATGCCGCTCGATAGGGATATTGATTTTGGTATTGACTTGTTGCCGGGCACTCAGCCCATTTCTATTTCACTATATCTTATGGCTCCAGCGGATCTGAAAGAGTTAAAGGAGCACTTGCAAGAGTTTTTTGTCAAGGGCTTCATTCTGCCTAGTGTGTCGTCGTGGGGTGCTTCAGTTTTGTTTCTGAAGAAGAAGGATGGTTCTACGCGTATGTGTATGGATTATCGGCAATTGAGCAAGGTTACAGTGAAGAACAGGTATACATTGTCGCGCATTGCTGACCTATTTGATCAGCTACAGTGTCATGACCCAAACTGATGGGCCATGACGGGTGCCCGAGTCCTACCTGTCGAACACCCCTGAGCATGCGTATAAGATATAAACATGAATAGCATCTGCTTAATTATGAGAATAACATACATGAGGAAAATCTACCGAAAAGACATATGTACATATACGTGCAAAATACGTAGGGCGAGCCGACAAGGCTACTGTAGATAACTATATACCCAAATCTGGAAGGCGGCAAGGCCACATACTATCCAACTATACATACTGTCTACATACCTCTAATAGAATATACAAATGTACAAGGACGGGACTGGGCCACGTCATACCCATATATGTATACAAGCATATCATACCAAAATCAAAAGCAGCTCCGAATCAAATGGAGCATGCCAGCTCTCGCTGATCAAGGATCCTAAGAAGGGGGACCGTCAGCTTGTCTACCTGCACCTGTAGGCATCAAATGCAGGCCCCGGGAAATAGGGCATCAGTGCGAATAATGTACTAGTATGTAAGGCATAAAAATCAGTACGTAACAGACATAGATGAAACATGGAATAAAGAATTTCGCTTGTAAGTCTAAATAACTTTATAAATCCCGAAACATTTATAATGTCATGCATGTACGTATAAATGTCATGTCATGCATAGGTATAGGTGTACATAACTTCATCAAGCCTCTGAGGGCATCCCATCATATCATCTCGGCCACTGTGGGAAAAATCATCAACATGTACCAGCTGATCAGGCGGTGGTGCGTATATAACGTCGTAATCTTTTCCCATATCCCATATAAATATAATATATGCGTATATAACACCATCTGGTCATAGGTCAATGTACATGTATAAATGAATGAAGTGCATATGAAATACGTCAATAAAATCTCTCGAAACGTCATAGGACCATTATGCCTTTGATTAATATCATAAAATAAACTTATCAACTTATGTATTTTCTGAGACCCATGAACAGATGATAGAATATTAAGACACGTGGGGAATCAAGAATATATTCATCCCTAGTATTTCTATGAATAGAGTCATTTATGAGAGTTGTCACGACCCAACTGGAGGGTCATGACTAGCACCCGGGCCATACTTGCCGAGCACCAAC